AGGCAGAGTTACAGAGACGGAGAGATCTTTAACCCTCTCTTTCACTCACCAAATGGCTTCAACAGCCAGGGAGCTCCGTTCTCAGGCACATTAGTAGGGAATTGGATCAGAAATGGAGCAGCGAGGACACCAACTGAGTTCATATAGGATGCCAGCGTTGCAGGCAGTGGCTTAGCCCAGAGTTGTCTGTTTATTTATCTATTTATTTAACTTTTAAGAAATTTACTTGATAATTTAGATTCTCAGGTAAAAGCAAATGCATCATTACAACAGAATTCTCATGTTAATATGATATTAATGCAAAGAGAACAGATTCACCTTAGTTCATAGATGCAATTTTAATACTTCCCTTCCTGCTCCCTTTCCTTCTTTCCTTTCTTCCTTCCCTCCCTTTTCTTTTTACTTTTTCTTTTACAATTTTGAGGTAAAATATTTGTATTTTACATTACAGTCAAAGGCTTAATGCTCCAATAAATAAAAAGTTCAGGGGTCGGCGCTGTAACACAGCAGGTTAAAGCCCTGGCCTGAAGCGCAGGCATCCCATATGGATGCCGGTTCTAGTCTTGGCTGCTCCTCTTCTGATCCAGCTCTCTGCTATGGCCTGGGGTAGCAGTAGAAGATGACCCAAGTCCTTGGGCCCCTGCGTGCACATGGGAGACCTGGAAGAAGCTCCTGGCTCCTGGTTTTGGATCGGTGCAGCTCTGGCTGTTGCAGCCATCTGGGGAGTGAACCAGTGGATGGAAGACCTCTCTCTGTCTCTGCCTCTCTCTCTGTACTCTGTATTTCAAATAAATAAAATAAATCTTTAAAAAAAAAAGAGTTCAACAAGTAAAAAAATAAAAGGACCCTAGTTCAGCAGGAATATAAGCATGGGCTATAAACAATAATCAAATGGAAAGAAAGATGACTATTTCACTTAGGTAGAGGTTTTTTGTCGCTCCCCCTCTTCGCGGAGGAACGACACAGGACCCTGCGCTGTTCTTTTGTCTGCTCGGCCCTCCCCGGGTTTGCGGCTGGTTCTTCCCGGGTTGGCTGCTGTCCCTCCCACCTCCGTGGAAGGGCGGTTCCCCCTGCCACTTTCCCCACTTTCGTGGGGGAGCGGCACACCGCCGGCCGGCTCTCTCGGGGGCTGCTCAGATGTCATCCGGATGTTCCCTTTAGATGTTCCTGGTGCATGTTGTCTCTCTCCTCCTTTATAGTCCTCTTCCACCAATCCCAACTCTACCCACACGCCGAGTACGCTGCTCTCCTCCAATCAGGAGCAGGATCAGCTCCTGCAGGTTATTGGTCGAACTGGAGGCAGCTGTGTAAAAGTTGTTTACTCCTCTCCCAGCGCCATATTGTGGGAGAGCAGATGCATAGAATAAGTCTTAATTCCAGTAACTTAGTCTAGTCCGAGTTGCCCCCCCCCAGGTTTTTTTTTTTTTTTTTTTTTTTCGCCCATGGACGACAGGCAGAGTTAGACAGTGAGAGACAGAGAGAAAGGTTCTTCCTTCCGTTGGTTCACCCCCCCAGATGGCTGCTTACAGCCGGTGGGTTCCGGCTGGTTGTGCCCCGTTTGGAAACCCGGGACTTGGTTTTTCCCCCCGGTTTTTCCAGTCGGGGGTCGGGGCCCAAAGCATTGGGCACCCCTCCACTGCCTTTCCCCGGGCCCACACAGAGATCTGCACGGGAAGAGGAGCACCCGACAGAGAACGGCGGCACCCCATGGTACTACTAGCCGGCGGGCCACCAGCGCCACAGGCGGAGGATTAGCCTAGTGAGCCGCGGTGCCAGCCCGTTTTTTTGTTTTGTTTGTTTGTTTTTTAGTTCATGCTCCCATATTCTTTTTTATTCAGAATCTAGAGTTATCTGTGGGAATGCTGTATTCAGTTGGAATATACTGGGGTAATGCAAACAGAAACCTCTTTGAGACTTTGATGAGCAATTTTGTGGGCTGGTGCCGTGGCTCACTTGGTTAATCCTCTGCCTGTGGCACCAGCATCCCATATAAGTGCCGGGTTCTAGTTCTGGTTGCTCCTCTTCCAGTCACGGTCTCTGCTGTGGCCCAGGAGGGCAGTGGGCCGTGCACCCGCATGGGAGATCAGGAGGAAGCACCTGGCTCCTGGCTTTGGATCAGCGCGGTGCACCGGCCATAGCAGTCATTTGGGGAATGAACCAGCAGAATGAAGACCTTTTTCCTCTCTGTCTCTCTCTCTTACCGTCTAACTCTGCCTAATTAAACAAAAAAAATTTTTTTTGTTAAAATTAAGTTAGGAGGAATGTCATCTTTCAGATACTCATCTGTTTCAAATATAAACCTGTGTTTTCATCCATCTGACTTTTTAATTCTCTTAGTAAAACTGTCAATGATGTAGATTCTAGCCATCTCTTATTAATAAAAAGGATCTGAATTTATCATATGAAGAAGCCTATTGTGTTTCAAATACCCGTATTTCCTTTAATGAAAATTTTTGGAAATTGACCTTATGGGAGCCCTTTTAGCTCTTTGTTGCACAAACATTCACTTTCTTTCTTAGTACACACACCGTGTCCTTCACATCAGGTCAGCTGAGACTGTCAATTTCTGGTCCAGTTCCTAGTCTTCCCTGTAGAAATGATGCCCTCCTGGGCTCTTTGGGTTAAGATCACTGATCGTAGGTTGGTTATAATTTTGTCTTGACTATAAAATGTGCTATAAAATATGCTCTGTTCTTGATGATAATTTCCTATGTTATTAATGTGTATGCATGAACAATTTAGTGGAAGAATGGAAAAAGGGTTGAAGTCATTGCTTTTTTAAAAAAAGATTTATTAGGGCCAGTGTTCTGGTGCAGCAGGATAAAGCCCTGGCCTGCAGCACTGGTATCCTATATGGGCGCTGGTTCGAGTCCCAGCTGCTCTACTTCTTGCCAGCTCGCTGATGGTGCATCCCAGAAAGCAGCAAAGGATGGCCCAAGTCCTTGGGCCCCTGCACCCACGTAGGAGACCCGGAGGAAGCTCCTGGCCTCTGGCTTAGGATTCGTTCAGCTCCCGCTGTTGCAGCCATTTGGGTTGTGAACTAGCAGTTGGAAAACCTCTCTGTCTCTACCTCTCTCTGTAAATCTGTCTTCAAATAGACAGTATAAATCATTAAAAAAATTATTTTTGAGAGGCAGAATGACAGACAAATGGAGAGAAAGAAATCTTCCATCCTTTGGTTCACTCCCAAATGGTCATGACATTCAGGGTGGGTCTTCCGTGTGGGTGGAAGGGGTCCAAGAGTTTGGGCCATCTTCCCCTGCCTGCCCAGGTTTATTAGCAGGGAACTGGCCTGGAAGCAGAGCAGCTGGGACTGGAACTGGCACTCCGATCCAGGATGCTGGTGTTGCAGGCAGCAGCTCAACCAGCTGTGTCACAATGCTGACTTCTGTGCTCCCTTTCCTGCCTCTTTTTAAAGTAATAGATTGAACCAGCTCTGCAAAGACTTTTCCACAGACATGAAGAAATACTTTAAGGTTGATTTTTTCTTTCCTTTTGGGCAACAAGCATACAGTTACCCAGATTAAATTTTGAGGGGAAAAATGGAATAAAAATAAGAAATAAAAAATACATTAAGCTTCTGAAACTGACTTATTTTTAAATAAGAGTTAAGATTAGAAAAATATAAATCAATTTGTTTTAAGTAGATATATGTAATTCTGTACTATTTTGTTTTGTTTTGTTTTAATTCTTATTTGAAAGGCTGAGAAACAGAAAGACAGAGAAATACTTTCCTTACATTACCCAAATACCTGTAAGAACTGGGACTGGGCCAGGCCAAAGTCAGGTATCCAGATCTCAATCTGGGCTTCCCATGTAGTGGCAGGAATCCAAGTGCTTGAGCCATTATCTGCTGCCACCCAGGGTGAGCAACAGCAGGAAGTTGAAATTGGAATAGATGTTGGAACTTGAACCCAGGCACTCTGATATGGAATGCATGTGTTCTAAGAGATGTCTTAGCCACTGCACGAATTGCCTGCCTCTCAACTTCTGTTCTTAAATATTGTTTTACACACCAAATCCCCATAACTTTCTATGAAAATGCACTTTAAGTTATATATGGATTTGGCACACTCATAACACCTAACAAAGACGTAATGTTTGTTGAATAGAATAAAAAGCATTCTTCTGCATAAGTGAGATATCTTTTCTTTTTTTATTTATTTATTGGGGCCAGCACTGTGGCATAGCAAGTAAAGCTACTGCCTGCAGTGCCAGCATCTCACATGGGCGCCGGTTCAAGTTCCAGCTGTTCTACTTCTGATCCAGCTCTCTGATATGGCCTGGGAAATCAGTAGAAGATGGCCCAAGTCCTTGGAGGCCCCTGCACCCTCATGGGAGACCCAGAGGAATCTTCTGGCTCCTGGCTTTGGATTGGCGCAGCTCTGGCCATTGTGGCTATCTGGGGAGTGAACCAGCAGATGGAAGACCTCTCTCTTTCTCTCTCTCTCTGCCTCTCCTTCTCTCTGTTAACTCACTTTCAAATAAAAAGATTTATTTATTTATTTATTTGAAAGGCTAAGTTACACGGACAGAGAAATCAGCTATCCGTTGGTTCTCTCCCCAAATGGCCACAATGGTTCGGATGAAGCCAGGAGCCAGGAGCTTCTTCTGGGTCTCCTTCAGGGACCCAAGCACGTGGGCCATCTTCTGCTGCTTTCCCAGGCACATTAGTAGGGAGCTGGATTGGTAGTAGAGCAGGTGAGACATGAACCGGTGATGATGTGGCATCTTTGCCTGCTATGCCGCAATGCTGGCTCTGAAATCTTATTTGTTAAATTTTCTTCAAGAGAATAAGAAATTCTTTTAATTATATATTATAAATAGAGTACCTGAGAAAACAATTCACTACAGATACAATATCTTATTATACCGCACTACAGTCCTCTCCAAGAAAAAAAATCACTGCTTCCCTAAAGAAGTTACAAGACAACAGCAGCATGCTAAAAATACTTTATTGTCATTATTAAGAGGATTAAATACACATTGTAAGTGGAATATGCTGTACATCTGATAAAATAAGCATTTATTAAGGTTAAACAAAACACATACAAAAAGAATAAATTGAGTTTTCAAATGCTGCAATAACTTTGAATATAACAGGTATTCTGCATCTTTCAGTTAAAGAAAGGGGAATAGACATTATAAAAAGTCTAAAGAGATCAAATGCCAGATATGCTATAGATGGAGAAAATATTAGCAACCTGGAATCATATTAATTCCCTGGCCTGTTTTCTGCCCACTGGAAAAAATCGCACTGTTTTTCCTTCCCAAGAGGGCACACAAAGAAATTCCTTCCATTATTAGGCCCAATCTTCAACACCGTTCTCATAATGGAGCGCTTGCCGTGGTTGCAGAGTGGGAAGGACAAATCAGCCCACTGGAGGAAAAAAAGATAAGACTCTATTTGAATGTGGAAGTTAACATCACGTGCTGGCTAAACTTAGGCTCACTTATTAGTGCCACATTGTCTTTACTGCTATTAGGATTAAACTGACATTGTAAAGCAGACATAAATCATTAGTGGTGCCATTAAAAACGCTTATATCTTGTAAGAAGCATCTCTCATAAATTTGTTGGAATTCCACAGCAAGTTGCCACAAGCCTCCCTCTGTTTAAAGGCATAATTGAAAACTATCAGAATCTTGCTGTAAAGCAATCAGTAGTGTCCCTGCTATAGGTCTATTTTAGTTAACACTCTAGGATCAAATATTTGTCATGATGCTAATACTAAACTTCTTTCCAGGGGTGGGGAACATCTGGCTCATAGGCTATATAAGGCCACAAAATCAGTCATTTGTTCTGGCCCTGACAAGACAATTGCAATTCAATAAATCTATAGCACAGTAATTTTTAAGTTGATAATTTTATGGCCTATGAATGATGTTATAAATATTCAAATGGTCCTTGTCAGAAACAAGATTCCCTAATCCTGCAAGGGAAAGAATGAATCCACAGGGATTTGCCTGGAATTAGATTGGGCAAATTTCATTGTATTAATTTTGGCCTTGGAGAGGTTTGAGGTAGGCTATTATCTCATTTTCTACATGACATCTACAAAAGCTTCTAGAGAAGGAAATCTGTGTATTTACTTGAATTTACATCTGGTTCAAGCATTGAGATCTAAAATCACTATCAAATTTTCTCTGGGAAATTCCTTAAGAAGGTATCACACTCTCAATAAGCCTACCAGAACATTTTTTTGCTCTTGCATTGGAACAGATTAATCTTTTTCCAGTTATATACCAGATAAAGCAAAACTTGGAACAACATGTTGTCTAGGCACACAGATTGGTGAGATGGTCACTGTGAGGAATGCAGAAAGTGAGACCAACTTAAAGGACATCTTCTATCATTATTTCATTATTAGGGAAACACCCAAAGACTAGAAAGGCATGAGGAATCGCCTGTAGCTACACTATTTTTGTATCATTACTTTTTTTGGTCAAGCTTGTATAGACTTTGCTATGGCTGTTGTACTCAAGGCAGGTAAATTGTTTTTCTTGTGTATCTCTATCCAGTGCATAAACCCAAGGTTTAATGTAGCATTGAATTCAGGGAGAACAAAATTTTAACGTGGATTATTACCTACATTGAGTCCTACTAGAATTCACTAGTCACTCAATACCTTTCTATCTTCATGAACCAAGGGCAACATTTCTATGTCTGTGGTTTCAAATAAGATATGGTCTAATAATCTAATAGTTATTATTTTATTTTCTTTTTTGCTGAATTCCTTTGAATTTTAAGTTATTCAACATTTAGGCTTTAAACTGGATGCTAGTGTGGCTACTTAACCATATTCAAAAATTTATGGCAAAAACTTTTTTGTTTTTAATTTTTTTGAGAGAAAGTCCCCCACTCACTGGTTCACTTCCATTTTTTTTTTTTAAATTTATTTAATAGGTAGAGTTATAGAGAGTGAGAGAGAGACAGAAAGGTCTTCCTTCCGTTGGTTCACTCCCCAAATGGCCACTATGGCCGGCGCTGCGCCGATCCAAAGCCAGGAGCCAGGTGCTTCTTCCTGGTCTCCCATGTGAGTGCAGGGGCCCAAACACTTGGGCCATCCTCCACTGCCCTCCCGGGCCACAGCAGAGAGCTGGATTGGAAGAGGAGCAACCAGGAGTAGAACCCAGCACCCATATGGGATGCTGGCGCCGCAGGCGGAGGATTAACCAAGTGAGCCTCGGCACTGGCCCCGGCAAAGGCTTCTTATAATTTAGGACAAAAGTGGAAAAACATTGTTATTTGTGCTATTTTAATAATCAAAATCCAGGTGCAGCATTTGGTACAGTGGTAGAATGCCATATGAAATCCTTGCATCCTGTATTAGACTGCCTGGGCTTGAGTCCTGCCTTCATTTTCAATTCAAGCTTCCTGTTAATGCATCTCCTGGGAGGCAGCAGGTGATGGCCCAGGTACTTAGGTCTCTACTACTCACATAGGAGACCCAGGTAGAGTTCTAGGTTCCTCGCTTCAGCTTTGCCCAGCTCGGGCTGTTGCCAGCATTTGGGGAGTGAACCAGCAACAGATCTCTCTCTCTCTCTCTCTCCCGCTCCCTCCCTCTCCCTCCCTCTCTCTGTGTCTTTTTCTTAGTGCAAGTTTCTTCCTTTCAAATACACTGAAAAATGAATAAACGAATTAAAAAAATACAATTACACCATAGTATACTTAGTAAATCTTAACACGTACTTCAAAAAAGCCACATTGTGCTTCTCCAGGTAGAGGACAAGCATAAAACTGCCTTCCCTTGTTTTCACCGTCCTTCCTCACAACTCGGAGAATGCAGAGGCGGTTGTGTTTACTGCATCGAGGACTGCCAGCATTTAAGGTACAAGGACCATCTGTCATATTAATCTGAAGTTCACTGTAATGACAGGTTACAAAATAACTGCAGCATAATAGTGCTAACAGGATCATTCACACCACCTCACCCCCACACATTAGAATTCTGCTTGTATAAAATTATATCAAAAAGCGGAATAGGGTCAACTTAAAGTAATTACACAAACAACTACTTTTTTAATGCTTTGTTTTCTTAGGTAATTCTAATTTACTTCCAAAGCTATCTATGTATTCAAGCACAGAACTTATACATTTCTAAAGAACAAAAACAGCTGAATTGTGCATCCACTTTCTTTCATTTTCATTTCTGATATTTGGTTCTTCTCTTACCCAATATTCTTTTGGCCAGTTTCATTTACTCGAAAATATTCTCAAGTTCAGCAGCCCCATTCCTCGCACTCCCCTCCCCCTAAGTAATTACCACAGTCTCCTCTTATTTTCTCCTCAGAAGCAAATGCTCATCAATGGCTCTGGCAAAGCCACTGAGATCTCTATTTCTAGTGTCCACTTTACAGACAATTTTCTTTGGTTTTCTTTGATCAAGGCTACCAAATAGCTGCAATCATATTCCAGCAAGAATCAGACTGCCTGGAAGAGCAGAAGTGAGTATTGTGTAAAGCTAGTAGGGAAGTTGCATTCACCCTGTAATTAGAATTGAGAGTATTTAGAAGTTATCCCTGAATAGAGTGTACAAACCTCAGAAGCCAGCCTTGTACTATACCTGTGTAAGCAGAATTTTTTTCTTGTAAAGGAGTTTTATTATTATTTTAATTTTCTGTATTTTGCATATCTCAATAATGCCTTTCTAAGAGCTAGAATTTTAATAAGCCATTTGAAGAGAAAAAGTGTTCACATTAATTAAAACCAGAAGTCCCCCCTTAATAAATATTACTTATTAAAAAAGCAAATTAAAAAAACAGTTCATTCTTTCTCATTTTGGGGAAAATGTCTAAAGAACAAAGTATTCTTAACTTAAAAAAATACTTAAAGCCAGAGATATTTTTCCGTTCTCCTTGCTTCCTATACTGCATTTCTCACATACTTGTTTCTATAATGATGCCTCGAAGCATCCTATCTAATTGAAAAGTGCGGAGAATGTGATTTTTTATTTGTGACTAAATTGGCTTAAACTCCTTTATAAAACAGATGCTTAAATATACTGCTCTGAAATCATTTGTATGGCCCCAAATATTCTGAGTGCAGGTTTTGAAGCTTTTCATACAGCAGCCATTTGTAAAATCAGAGCAGCTGTAGGCATTGCTAATGAAAGCATTATAATTATACTTTTCACCAGCAACTTTTTTCTTGGTACCTTTTTCAGGGTAGGGGTGGTGGCTTGTATTTTAGAACTGTGGGTATTATCAAATCAGAAAGAGGAAGGCTGAGAAGCAAAGCACTTTTTTTTCCACAACCTTCCATTTCACCAGACTGCAGCAAAGGAGGCAGTGTTAAAACTTCAAATTCTAGGTAAGCTAAATATCTAGGTAAAGTCAAGAGATTTCAAAATGGAAGTGGCTTATAGTGTTATTTTAAATATTAAAGTAGGAGAAATAATTTAATAATAATAGAAACAATTAAATGTGTTACTACTTGAAACTATGCACACATAAAAATACAGTTTCATATATTATCTTAAGGGTAATTGTTTTAGATAACAACCAGTTCAATGTTGTCTAACCCATCTCCAGGGTTCCACATACCCAAGAGAGGTTAAAACTGTTCACTATTAATGCTTTTCTGGGAAGAGGGACAAAGGTGGATTAAGGAGAAAAGGAAAGTCCCCAATGTCTTCTTTTAGTTCAATTGTGTCTTCCATTCAGTTTCTTCTTTGGTATAAAGAAATCAATATTCAAAAAATCTCTTATCTTTGGTACTCAGAGTGTCGTCCACTTTCTAGGAGCATTAACATCACCTGAGAGCTCATTAAAATTACAGAATTATCCGCCCTTGCTCCAGATTGCTACAGAATTAGAGTCTGAATGTTAACAAGAGTCCCAAGTGATTTTTATGCACATTAAGTTGGGAAGCACCGAGTGAGTTAAAGAAACTAAGATACTGAGGCCTCCTGTGATCACATCAGCTCTAAATATGCATAGCCTAATCTAAATTTTATAATAGAAAACATTATCCAGAATAATTAAAACATTATCCTGATCAGTTGAGGATATTTTGGCTTCTGTTTGTTTCAATCATTATTTGAAAACTTTCTAAAATATTGGACAGCATTTCGTGAGGCAAATTTAGCTTACAGAGTATCTTTACTTATGTTGATGGTTAGGACCACCATTGTGTATATATAATACTGGGTTATAAATGAACTATTATAGATCAGGGCTTGGTAAATCCCTATAATCAACGGGGTTGGTAAACCTTTCAGATAACACACATTTTAGGCTTATGTGTCTAATGGTTTCAGCCACAACTACTTCATTCTGTTGTTTGCAGCATGAAAAACAGCCATCAAAAATACCTAAGTGGGGAAATTTTTATTTGTACAAACCGGTGTCAGGCCGGACTTGGCTGTAGCCTGCTGAAAGACAAGTCATTAGAGACAAAAACAATGCTTAAGAGATAAGAGGTTCTCAACAAATACTTATTAATAAAGAAATGAAATTGCACGGCAATCAGATAAATACTATCATGAAGATACAAAGACATTCCCAAGCACAGGTTTGTAATTTTAAAGTGAATATTTTTTCAATAATCAATTCATAACAGTTTAACTTATTTTGCAGATAGGGTGATGCCATATAATAAAAATGTTGCCTGAAATCTTTTAATTAATAAGCCTCCATGAATGTTTATGTTGTCATCTAGGAATATCTCAAGGATTAAAACGAACTGCAGTGGCTAAGCTGGTGCCTGTGACGTTGGCATCCCATATCAGTGTGCCGGTTTGAGTCCCAGCTGCTCTGCTTCCAATCTGGCTCCCTGCTCACGTGCCTGGGAAAGTGGCAGAAGACGGCCCATCTACTTGGGCCTCTGCCACCTATGTAGGGGACCTGAATGGAGTCCCAGGCTCCTGGCTTCTGTCTAGCCCAGTCCCACAGCAGTCATTTGGGGAGTGAACCAGTTGGTGGAAGATCTCTATCTTTCCCTTTCTCCCTGTCATATTGCCTGTCAAATAAATAAATCTTTAAAAAATGAAATAAGCAGGAAGTTAATGACCCATCCTGGATGACCCAGATAGTTCTGAAATCATTAGGGACTGAAAACTCCAAAAGGTGGCCCTGAAACAAGCAGAAGGTGTAAGTACTTGCACCGGTGACTAGAGGCAGACGCTTAGCATACCTCATGGCAGCAGACATGAGACAATGTTGAAGAGTTTTTGTGTCACTTCAGTCTTCTATATGAGGCTTTGCATCAACTCAAGAAAAATTTCAACCCAAAGTGCATGCTTTCTCTGAAAATATATCACTGTGTTTGTGTTTACAATAACTGGATTAAAGACTGAAACTTGTTTTCAATAGTCCTTCTGGACTACTTGAAAGTTGGTTCATTCATCCAATTTAGTATTCAGTAGCTGTATGACATTCAAGAATATCTAAATATTGGTCTGGAAATATGTCATATCATAGCATGCATCTTGTGGTGATGAGATCAGTAATTAAGAGAACAACAGTCTAATTAATTACCCTATAGTTATTAAACAACAAATAAACTGGCTATAAATTCTGAGTGGGCTACCTGCTTTAGTAGTATTATATTGTAGGCTTCTACTAAGCATCTTGTCCACAAGATGAACACAGTAGCTGCTAGACAAGGAGAAAAATGAAATAAATGACAGTAATTTACAATTTATTCCTTGTAAAGTAGCTGGGTGCAGAAGGGCTGCTGGGTGAATTTATTTCATCACTTGACATTTATTCTGCTAGTTGATCTTGATTGATTGTGGAGTCCCAGTCCTGGTGTTCTTATATTCAACACATACACACGCTGCAGCCTCTCCATGTTATGCTGTGCACTGTGATTAATCATATGATCCTATTACTAATGACTTACGAAGAAATCACTTAAATTTAAGGTTACATTAATGTTTTTTTAAAATCCCTAATTCATTGGTTAAATTGTATGAGATTTTCTATAAAGCACTCAGGAAATAAAAATATGCCAAGATATTTCATCTGGGTACAACAAATGCCACAATAGTTTAAGACAATCACTTCTTCCCACTTGAGCCGCAGAACAAAAAAGCTATTCAAAAGTGATTTTATCTGATGGGTAAGACAGCCTCTCAACTCAAAGCACCCTTTACTAACTCCTTTATGAACTGTCATCATGAGGCACTAATTAGGATTTAAGTGAAAAGGTGGTATATTTCTCCAGTCACTTACAAATTAAACATCCACAGTTTAATTCAAATTGTTTCAGGGACAGAAGTTAAACTAGTTGTCATAAATTATTCTGAACAAAATATTCTGAAAAATCAGCCAAGAATAAATCATCAGGAAATTATGAAAAATGCATGTATTGAGCAAAAACTGTATCAGAATTGTTATGAAATCAGTTGTAACGATTCACAGAAGGTGGTCTAGGAGTGTACACTAAGTGGTCCTTTATCCCATTGCCCATAACAATTCTCCATTCAGTGGAGGCCACCTACTGAGAGGAAAAGCTGGCCATGAGAATTCTACCTGAGACTATTTTATATTCCACCCAAAGTGACCCTTCCCTGTTTCTCATTATCAAGTAAAAATATATATATTCTTCACTTCATTTACAAATGCTAGGTATGTGACATCTGCTTTTCAATTAATTTTATTTGAGACGGAAAGGAGGAGAGAGGGAGAGAGAGATCCCACACACAGATTGATCCCCAAATGCTCTCGATAGTCTGGTCTGGAACAGGCCAAAGGCCAACACTGGGAGCTGGTAACTCTACCTGGGTTTCCCACATGGGTGGCAGGGACCGAACCACTTGAGCTATCACCTGTTGCATCCCAAGGTTTACACCAGCAGGTAGCTGGAACTGGCATTGGAGCTGGGAGTAGAACCCAAGTGCTGCAGTGTAGGATGTGGGCTGGGATGTGGGCATCTCATGCAGCATCTTAACTCTATGCCAAACATTTGCTGCATGCCTGCTTTTTAAAGGAAAAAACAACAACAACAAAAAGCAGCTTAGGAAAAAAAAATGTGTGGAGAAATGTCTTTCTTTGGTGGAAGCATGAAATGAGGTTGTGACAGGAAGTACAGGGAAGGATGAAACTAAGCTGAGGGAGGCAGCTCAACAGAATATTTCAGGAGTTTCCAATACTTCCTAAGGAAAAGGATAAATTTCTACATGTCTGGTGACAGCAATTGGGACCCTTCTTCTAGACATATGGTTAATAGCCCCACAAAACATATCTGATTTGGTAGTATTTATTAGATGTAATTATAACTTTTTTTTTTTTTTTTTACATTTCAGATGCAAAAGTAGTATGGATGCTTGTGGAGTTTTTAGTTGAAATAAAGAACACCATCCCACAATGTAGTATGAGATGGAACCATGTTCTTTAACAGAAATGTCACAAAAGGTATTTCACAGTACTCTCTTTAAAATAGAGGATACCTAATAAATATTTATGAGAAAATTTCTCTTTTAAAGGAAATATCTTTCATTTGAAGAAAATATAAAAATTTCTAACAGTGGTTATTGATAACTGATATGATTATGGGTAATTTAAATATTTTCCTTTATACTTTCTAGTATCTTTCAAATACTCTACACTTATACATATTATTATGGAAAGAAAAAAGGAAACATTTTATAGATGGAGAAAAATCTGTTTTTCATTTCCTTCCCCTCTCTAATATTGTAAGTTATGGAAAGGGAATGGAAGCAAATCACTATACCAGTTTTTCAGCAATTGATTTATGTTACCGAAATCAATTCAACTTCTTTAGCAATGGATGGTTTTCTACCCTCTTAAAACTTAATGCAAATACCTAAAGACCAAGGTTAGAAGCATCATACCTGTTAGAAAATCCAGGCTTGCAACTTTGGAGGTCTAATGATGAGTAGTGGGTTGTTTTCAATTTTTTATGTGCAGGACTGAATAATTTAGATTGAGAGAAGACTGTAGGTGCTATCTTTACTTTGTTAGAGGGTTGAGCTACATAGTTTGTTCTCTCCTTAGAGGGGTACTGTGCCTCACTAAGAGAAATGTTAGTAGAAGGCAAGTTTTGAAATTCCCCATCTAGTATCTGGTTTGGGCTTTTTGTTCTTTCCAAAGTACTGGATTTATTGCTAAGATCAGTCAAGACAAGGGTTGTAGTTCCAAATGCAGTTTTCCTGTTGATCTTCAGTTCTGTATGTGGCTTTCCAAAGCTATTACAAGGGTACTTCACTAAACTGTTAAAGGCAACAGAGTTTTCTTCATTCTTGAACAGTGAATCTGAAAGGAAAAATAAGTTATTCTACAATATTTCTATAAATATATTGACTATTTGAGATACCTTTTATTGGATTAAAAGTTAATTCAATTTATTGCAGTAAAACTAATACATAGAATTAATAATACAACATTAGCTTTGGCAAGTCGTCATTAATCATGCTCTGGTTAGGAAATGAAGTCTTATTTAAAATGCAAAATATTAGCAACTTATAGGGCCTTATGATGGCTTTAACAAAGATTTATATTTGCTTTTTCTTATGTTTAAGCCTTTAAGTTTGTCCTATCAGTTTTGTTAATAGCAGGTCTTTCCTACAGTGTAAGACTTATTTAAAATAAGATAATTTACAAAGATAATATTTATTAAATTCATGGTTTCAGTAAAGTATCCTGGGATTCTGGAATCTATATTATAATCTATTATAAACTGTAGATAAGATTGATGTCTTTCATATTCAGAAAAAAATCGCAAGAAAATAGTTCATTAAGACATGTAAAGGCATTTCAGAATGCTGCAATAAATGTGGAAACTGAAGACTGGTTTTCCAAGGGCTCTTTCTCTGAATGATCTTGAAGAAGGAGAGCTAGAAATAGGAGTTGCAGTCCTTTCTGCTATTAGCAAAGCTGTGTAAGGGGTGATGCCCGCCTTTCTGGCCCAGGGAACAAAACACAAATTGACAGTTAACACAATGTAGGGGTCTATAAGTCAAGAATGAACTTTCTCATCTCTAATTGACGAAAGAAATAACACTTTGAGAACACAATAGACACAGCATCAATGAGATGGTTCTTAATCACAGGTTTGCTCTGAGGTTTTACATTCTCTGAACACATGAAATTGTAAGCTATAAAGAGTTATTTTGAAGGATTTCAATGAAATCAGTACAATTGTCTGAGTAAAGATTTTAATAACAAGGGGTAGGAAGGATAAAGAAGAGAAAAAAATCAGCAGTTTTCTATTCCACCTGCAAAGATATTCTTACAGAAATCCTCCCTTTCAATTTATGAAACACTTGGACTGAATAACAAACTCAAAAGTTGCTGAAATCTGCATAAAACAAAGCTTTATTGAATAATTCATTAGAAACAGTAGAGAACAGATGTGATCATCTCAGTTTTTTGAGATACAAAGGCACACACTGTTTTAGCACAAGCATGTTTTGCCTCCCTGTTGAAAAAATATCCAACAAAACATTAGCATGGTTTACAGGCAAAAGCAGGCAATTCCTATAAACCTTTAAGAGAGACAACATTTTACTGAGTTACAGAATAGAGAATGGAGCAAGATATATTCCTGACTTTATATAATTAAATTTATTTGCAATGTAACAAACTGTAAATCAAAATTCAAACTTACCAACAGGCCTTGAGGTCAAGCAAGCATCACATGCTTTAGAAGAGGGCTTATTTATCAGTGTGCAGGCGACACAGACCCATTGCTCTTCAGATTTCTGAGCCACAGAGTCCATAAGATGATCCTCTCTGCTAGATTTCCAACCAACGACAGTATTTCTAGTTGGCAGCTTGCTAAAAAATAATTTTAAAAATTAATCAGGGCCAGCACTGTGGCGTACTGGGTAAACCCTGTAGTGCTGGCATCCCATCTGGGCTCTGGATCGAGTCTCAGCTGGTCCACTTCCCATCCAGCTCTCTGCTATGGCCTGAGAAAGCAGTGTAAGATGGTCCAAGTCCTTGGGCCCCTGTACCTGTGGGGGAGACCCGGAGGAAACTCCTAGCACCTGGCTTTGGATCAGCCCAGCTCTGCTGTGTGGCCATTTGGGGAGTGAACAAGCGGATGGAAGACCTCTCTCTCTCTTTCTCTCCGTAACTCTTTCAAATAAATAAATCCTAAAAAATTAATCATTGTTTTATTGCCTTGTTCTTACACATTAAGTATTTATTTATTTGAAAGAGAGAGAGAGAGAAAGAGAGTGAGAGTGAGAGAGAGAGAGAGAGAGAGAGAGATCTCCCATTTGCAGGTTTATTTTTCAGATGCCCCAAATAGCTGGGGCGACCCAGGTTGAAACCAGCAGCCAAGAACTCAATCTGGGTTTCCCATGTGGGTGGCAAGAGACCCAGCTACCTGAGCCATCATATGCCTCTCATTGTGTGCATTTTCAGGGAGCTAGAATCAAAAGTGGAGGTGAGACTTGATTCTAGATATTCTGACATGAGATGCAGACATCCTAAGTGGTGTCTCAACCAATATGCCATTGCTCATACTTTGAGTATTTTAGAAAATACTACAGAACCATTAGTACTCCACTGATATCTGTATATCATTATTGCTTAGAGGTTACAACTGTGCCTTAGAGTGAAACATTTTAACTTGGGCCCTGCTGATTGCAGTTAAAGTCATAAATAACATAAATTTTTATTTGTAGTCAGCACTGTGTGTATGTGTATTCAAACAAGCCAAAAATATCTGACATAACCACTAGGAAGTATTTGCTAAATAACTTTTAAGTAAGTGGTCCTCTTCAAAGTGAAACTGAAATATGTTTACTCAATGAAATCAGGAAAAAAAAAAAACTGTGTTTAGAGCATTGAAAGTAGACGGAGAAAAGGTTTACATGATTTCATGTACCTTAAAAAGAAAACTCTAGAAGGTCTAAAATTTCCCTGAAGTATTTGCTATAAATACAGATATCACAGCAACTAAATTGGTCTATAATAATGAAAAAAGGTATCTATCATGTGTTATTTCTTTTCATATAAGACTATTTTATGTCTAATATCTAATCATCATTAGATAAATAATTATTAGATTAATAAGCAAACAATACAACCAACCCTGATTTTTGGCTACAAATGTAAATCATGGTTCTTTTTCTTAACTGATCATTGAATTTTACACAAAACACCTCTGCATTCTGACACAGTCCTTCTGCCTAATGCATGGCTACAGGTCTGCAGAGCATATCTTGTGGTCAAGCAACCATGGCAGTGTCCTGGATTCTTTACTTGATTCCAAACATTAATACTGAAAAACATTTGTCCAGTAAAAGCTAAGTGTCTTATACTTCAGAAAGTCATTTCCTTGACTTTTTTAATTTATTTTTTTGAAAGGTAGTGAGAGAGCGAGAGGGAGGAAGAGAGAAAGATATATCTTCCATTTGCTGGTTCACTCCCCAAATGGCTGCAATGACCAGGGCTGGGCCAGGCAGAAGCCAGGAGCTAGGAGCTTCTTCCTGATCTCTTACATGGGTTCAGGGGCCCAACTACTTGGGCCATCTTCTACTGCTTTCCCAGGAGCATTAGCAGGGAGCTGGATCAGAAGCAGAGCTGCCAGGACTTGAACCAGTGCCCATATGAGATGCCAGCAATGCAAGAGGAGATTTAGCCTTCAATGCCACAGTGCTGGACCCTTCTTTGACTTTCAAAGGTAGCCTTGTCTTCTGCAACATTTTGCTCCTTCCATACAGTTATTTACAGTTATTAAAATTCAGTCTTGTCTAGTAAAATAATAAATAGCCATATTCACTGAAAGGAATTCTGAAAATAAGATACATCTTAATATAGTTCTTTTATCTTTATGTACCTTGACTTTTAATGCCATTCAGTATTTCTTGTTCCTGTGGAACACTAGACTATGAATTTGCTAATCTGACTTAATCCCTGCCATCTACTAACTTACTCTGAAAGGCAACATGATGTAATATTTTCATAATTACACACAAGATAAATGACCTTCAGATTTTCAGTGTGCTGCAACTTTTCACTATTTTCATCTTCTTCTGTCCTAAAGATTGCAATAATCATAAGATGTTTATTGTTACATATGGATGCTTTGGAAGTTTTCTTTCTGCTCTATTTCTTAATTACCCAGTAATAAAATTCTTTCTAATCTCCACTTAGATGCATAACAGGAATCTCAAATGTAACATGTATCAGGATGAATAATAACCTCTCAAAGACATCAGGTCACAATACCAGGGATCTATAAACATTACTTTATAATGAAAGAGAGTCTTTGCAGACAAATTTAAGTACCTTGACCTCGGGAGATTATCCAGGAGTTCCTTGAATCCAATTATAAGCATCTTTCTGTGAGAGACAGGGAGAGTTGTGATACTCACAGAAGAGAAGGCAGTGTGACTACAGAGGCAGATATTGGAGTGATGTGACCACAAACAAGGAATGAGGGCAGCCACAGAAGCTGGAGGAGGCGGGCGATGGATACTTTGCAAGAACCTTCAGAGGGAGCACAGCCCTGCCCATGCTTTAGTTTTGGCTCACTGAAACTCATGCTGAACTTCTGGCATCCAGAACTTGAGTGAATAAATTTCTGTTGCTTTAAGCTGTTAAGTTTGTGGTCATTTCTCACAGCAGCTACAGGAAATTATTGCAAATAAAATTCATGATCCTCCAATCTGTAAGGCTACTAGTTTGTCTCAGTAAATGGTATCAGCATGCACTCCACGGATCAGGCCAAAACCTGGAAGTCATCTTTAACACTTTTCCCCCTTCACTTTTAACATTTACTCCACTAGAAAATCCTAGAGAGATTCTTGCAGGGGCAAATTTATCATGAAGCTAATGACACTTAACACTTGATGTGTTCCCTATGGGGAGAAAGAATAATGGAAGCAATAACTCTAGCCACGTGCTGGAGGCTGAGAGTACTGCCATTGTAGCAGTCCTAAGGTTCTAGGCAAGGCCTATGTGCAGCCAGCACCACCTTAAATCTGCTCAATACCCATAGGAGCAGGTAGATTCTGTCTTTAACCTCAAGTAGGAGGAAGGGAACAAGAGATGCTTCTCCATTTCTTCCTCATGGGTCATTAGGACCCTGGCTGCAAGGTCACAAAAACTAAGCACCATCCCACCCCTAATCACAAAAAGCCTGGTAGAGGTACAGAAAGTAAAGCAAATGAAGATCAAGAGACTAGGGTTCTCAGAGATCTTCAGACCAGTAGCATCAGCATCATGTGGGAACTTGTGAGATATGCAGATTTTCAGGGCCCTTCCCAGAACTACTGAGTCAGAAACTGGGGGTGGGCTCAGCAATCTGTATATTAACAAGCCCTTCAGGAGATGCTGGTGCACACAGGCCTGAAAAGTTTGAAAACCACAGCTCTAAGGGCTTCTTTACAGTCAAGAAGAAATGTTTAAGCATAATATAACAGGGGAGTTAGAGATGTATCATTATGGACAGCCAATTGTGAAGCTAAATGACAATTTTCTAATCAGTAATAAAAACAGAATATTGTTGGTGGCTATTAACAAGGTAATCAAGGAGCATGAAGCCAAAACATGGAAAAATTATGCAGGTAACTACACAGCTGTTCTAGGCATGAACTTTTTTTCCGATATTGTGGTATGTTAAAATTATAATTTGTTGTAACTTCTCATTCTAATTAATCACATTAGGACTGAACTTTTTCTTGATAATGTAAATTCTTTTTCATAAACAAGACTGCCTCATCACCTGCACTATTTTTCAGGTCATAACTGTATCCTGACTTGTTGGAAAGTACCTAAATTCAATGCTTTCTTTTTTTAACCATTCCCACATTGTTTCGCATCACCATTATCTACCTTCTGCATTATTGCTGAGAATTGCTTTTCCACACAGCAGCCCAAAATATCCTCAAAAACACTGGTCAGTCCGGGTTACTCTTCTATTCAAAAACCTTCCAGAAGTTCTCAGCTCTCTAAAGTCAGTTCTCCCCATGTCAGCCAGAGTGGTATTTTAAAATGTAAACCAGTTATTGCATGCCTGCTCAAAACCTCCAACCAGTGCTCATTTCGGCAGCACATATACAAAACTTCCAACCAGAGGCTTCCCATTACACTTAGGATAAAATGGAAACTTCTCACAGTCAAGCAGGCTTTGCATGTTCTCTGGTCCCTGCCATAATGGATCTCTCTTTTTCTCATCCTTCTTCCTTGGTCAACAACACTTGCCTTCTTTCTCTTCCCTGAACAAGTCAGAGACTTCATAATTTCTGGGATATCTTTGAAAACTTCTCTTCCACCTCCAGACCTTAACAAGTCACCAGATCTTTTCAACAGTCTCCTCCACAGGGGCTTTATCTGCCCACTCTATCTAAAATGAACGTTCCCTGTCACTATCTATCCCCTGCTGTGGTTGAAGCAACTGCTTTTCTGTGTCCAAATAAAGCAGATTATTCTTTTTAAAAAGTACCAACATAAGTGTGAATAAGACCAAAAAAAGCTTATACAAAATAAAGTAGCATTTAAATAAAATTTGGATAAATAGAACTTCCAAGTGGCTGCCCAATATCTGTTCCAAATTAATTAATTGTCATTTCATTCAGTCTACTCTGCATCCTTATTCTTGGAGCACCAACATTTCTGGAAACCCTCCAGAATCTATGTCTTCTACTGAAACCAGGATGATTTTATTATAATGAGGTTTGTCATAAGAAGCTTAAACAGAAGCTGTGATCTGTCTTTATTCTTTCTACTTATTCTCTGTAGAGAGTGCAGGCAAGGTCACTTTCATGGGTCCAGTCCCAGAGCCTTTAGTCCCTATAGTTTCCCCACTGGTTCTATTAATGATCCCAATATGCATTTTGATCACATGACCCATACCTCCCCATTTCAGATTTTGATAAGTTGAACTGGTTTTCTTTTGTTGCAGTCCAAAAAAATTCCTTTTAAACTACGTTTTAAGCATGGTAACTATGCAATCAAACTCTCTTCCCAAACAAGCTTATCATGTTAATACTAGTCCATCACAGGTTTTCCTTTGCCCTTTAATTGCTCCATCCTCTAAAGAATCTGTGCCAGGTTGGACCTGCCTTAAGAATTGCTTTGCAAACAGCAAATTTTCATTAACTTGTGACCAATAGTCAGCACATTTCCAAACTAGATGCTTTTTAAGAGAACGAGTCTTTTTAAATGAACAAAATAAATGCCCTTGGCGCAGTTCTCCAAACGGACTAGCAGTTTCCCCTGCACACTTCTGTTTTCTCTTCCAGAAAATCCTTCTCCCACCTCTTGACCTTGATGAACTCCCATTTTCTTTCACACTAAGCTCCACTGTCACTTCTCTGAGAAAGATTTCCTTATCTTTCCTTGGTAGGGTTGAGTCTTCCCTCAACTATTTTCCACTGCTGTTAGTATAATCATACCAACATTTCAGAACCTCCATCAAATGTTTTAATTATCTATTTATTCATTTATCCCCTACATTGGACCTAGAGCACTTTGGGGGATAGAATATTCTATTCTATCTTTGAATTCCCAATACTCAGCACACAGAAAACACTAATAAAGTAAATAAATCAAATATAAATACATAAATTATGTTAGCTAGAGTATAATATGAAATATAAAAATATTTAAAATATGGATAACCAATGAAAACTGGAAAATTTTGGGAAGTCTTCATGAAGGAATTGAATGAGTTTTGAGGAACTGAAGAACCATAAAGATTTAGACCATTGCTCCTGGGTTTTTCAACATAATTTGAATTAACTTTAAATTAAGAGGGGAAAAATTTAATCGACATAAAAAATGGTCAAACACTCATCCAGAAAATGAGTGGGAAATATTTAGTCATAAAAAAATTAAGATAAGGGCAAATAGTCCTGCTTTTCAAGCTTTTAAAATTATATATACATTTATTTTGCAGTGTGTAGTTGGTTTTTCAAAAGTTTTAAGTTAAATGCCAATATATAAAACACAATTAGGTTAGAAAGGAGGAGGGATTACAAAGCTCACAACATTTTCAGTGTAGTTTGGCTTTCCCTAGCTCATAGATAACCCTAAGTCTCTTTTGGGGAACATTTAAACCTTTAAAACCTAGTTTAAAAAAACCTTTGGATTTGGCAATTATCCTATTATATGATAAACAACATTTATTTAATGATTTGTAAGAATAAAAAAATTGTATCTCAAAAGCTACCAATCCACAGAAAACAGCATCTGAATCATCTATTCAGTAAACATATACTGACGATCTTCTATCTGCCAGGTAGTATGTTAAACACATTTGGTCAAATAAATGTACACTGATGTATGAATACTATGAAAAATAGTTCTTGTTCATGAAAAGGAAGAAAACCATAAACGTGTACCATAAATACAATTAATTATGTAAACATATTTCAGATCTCCATAACAGTAAAATGAGGCAAAGAAGCTGAGGGGAAAGGGCTACAGAGCGATTTAGAGAAAGTAGCTGAGAACAGGACAAGGAGTAATGCAAACAATGAAACAAAGGGACAAGAAGAAGGAAAAGCAGCTCCAGATGTATGTCTGAACACATACACTGGGGTCCACATGGCACAGCACCTCCATCCCAGTGCTTTCAGCTCTACACAGATACTAAAGCCGCCTCCCTCTTCCTGGACTTCCCCACAGCCCAGTCATGCCCTGCTTCTCTTCCCATTTCTCAGTCCTATCACTTTGTTTCCTTTGCTTACTTGTCCTCCTACTCTGTAGTGATGGGTATCCCCTGAAGCTTAAACCTTGGTTCATTTCTTTATTCTTTTTCAGTGAACTGAGAAAGTGATTCAACTCTCAGTACTGTGCTGATGACCCTCCCGCTATTATCTCTCACCCTGTTCTGTGCCCAAGACATCTCTTCTGAATATTCTACTGTTAGTTCATGTAACCAGTACTGATATATCTTTACCATTCTATACCAACTTTCCCAAGCCCATAAAGTGAACATTTCTAATGTTTGGCTTTGTGCTTCTTGCATTAACCTTCATATAAAAAACTGATTTAAGGTACTATTTTCAGTGTTGACCTCAGATCTGGTAACCGTTGCTTGCTGGTAACTCAGCATGAGGCTCTTCATAAATGTCTTCAGTCTTTTCACTTTCCTTCCTAACTATGCTAAAAATCAAAGTCCTTAGTATACTTATTTAGAAAAGACATTAACCACTCCCAGAACTAACTAATGATCACTACTATTTGACTCTATCCTACCTCTAAAATTTTTTTCTGGAGCAGGTGATTGGCACAGTGGGTTAAAACTGCTGTTTGGGACACCTGCATCTCTTATCTGAGTCTGGTTTGAGTCTCAGCTACTCTGCTTCTGATCCAGGTCCCTGCTAACATTCCTGGGAAGCAGCAGGTGGTAGCTCAAGGGCTTGAAATCCTGCCACCCACCACAGGCCCAGTGGAGTCCGTGGTTCCTGCCTTTGGTCTAACCCAACCCTAGCTGTTGCAACCATTTGGGGATTGAAACAGCAATATGGAAGATCTCTCTCTCTCTCTCTCTTTGACTCTGTCACTCTGCCTTTCAAATAAATCAATCTTTAAATAAATAATAATAATAAAAAGAACTAGCTTTCACTATTCAACCACTTAGAGGCTTTGTGAGGTTTGCCCAGTATTCTTATCATTTCTCCAATATGACTTGCTTATTAATGGCTCAAGGTGTGTGGTCATTCTCCTATTGAATTAATATGCTTGCATTTTTACTTAACCAAAAATCTAATTTTTAAAGCAAATTTCAAATTACACCTTCTTTATAGGGCATTCCAAAACTCCCTGTATAGTATACTAGAATTTTTGTAGTATTTAATATAGTCCATATTTGTTCTGGTAATTTTAGTTTATAGTCTCATATAGGAAGCTACTTTGAAAAGTTCTTAAAAAATGGAATTCAAAGTATGAATTTATTTTGGTGCTAAAGCAATTCTGAAATTCATGCATTTTTTTCATAAAATGTACTTTTTCATGTATTTTTTTGGCATCAACATAAACTCATACATTTAATTCCATCTTTTTACAAACTCTATTTAGTTAGATAATGGAGGCAAACAGTATCACTTTAAATTAGATCTCTTACCATATGTCAATAAGTTGAGGATTTTCTTTTTGACAATGAGGACAGAAATATGTCATTCTATTATTCTCCCCTAAGCGACACACAGTTATTTTGCAGTGACACTGACCACAATTATGACGCTTGTAAACCTTATAGTGTTTTGAGATGGCCAATCCTGTCTTGAGACACTGAAAAAAAAGACAAATTAACAATGTTATCTGTAAAGCAATGTTGTAAGAAGACAAAGATATATTCTTAAAAGTTATCTCTGAAAATAATCTGTTAAGAATTTATATGTTTATACATATGTCTGTATAATTTTGTCTTTCATCAGACATAAAGGTATGACAATATTCAGTAATGTGTGTTGCATTAGATTTGTATGAAATAATTAAGTCATTATTTTATCTTATTAGTATTCAAAATTGTTCTTTGCATAGCTTTGTCCCCTTATCTAAATGAGATATAAAAGTTCATATTTTAAATGTCTTTTATGCTTTTAAAATTCTTTTTTTAATTAAATATAATTATGTGGCTATAACAAAAAGACTGCATTAGCTTTAAAGCTAAGCTGCTCATTCAGTTACAATAGGCAGAAAACTTGCTTCTAGGATACAAAATTTAACAAGATCTTCTTTGTTGATCTGAAAAAGGACTTTTCTTTTTTTAACCTTAGACATTCATTAGAAATAAAAATAAAAATTCAAATGTCATCCTAGCAGAGAAATGTTCCATTTTAATATAAGTTCTATTTCAAAAGATATTTTGATATTGTCTGTCATTGCCTTATTTATTCCCCTCACATACATCAAAGTTCTTACAGAGGAAATATTTTTGGGTTGACAGCAGTGTGAGCATTTTAAAGCAACAGAGATACAGTTTACTTTGTATGAGCTGAAAATTACACAAACAATTAACATTAATTTAAGGAAATATTGACATACTCAATTTTATCTAAGTAAAAATTTGGCAGTTTTCCATAGTAATCTTCTCTGGAAGAATAAGTGAGTATATATAATTTAAAAGTAGCCATAGTTACTCAAGGCAGACAGACATACAAAGCACAAAGTTTATTAATACTTCAGGCCAATTAATGAATAATGCTACAGTACCTGCTTTTTTGAACACATAAAAAAAAAAACCCAAGAATATAGAATATAGAAAATGAATCATGGAAGCAAAACAGATATTTGATAATTTGCTTAAAAAATAAGTGTGGTTATTGAACTTTATATATGCAATATATACACTTTTAAAATTTACATGCTAGCAAGAACTTATTGCAGTGTTAAAATAGCTTTTGTGGTAGATAAAGAACTATTACTATCCCATTTTGTAGATGAAGAAATTCAAATGACATTATCTAAATCATCCATACCACATAGACAGTATAATGGCAAGGCCTGATAGGGTTAAGGTCTATTTGTTCCCAAGTAATAGGTCTACCTCTCTAAACTTGCTACATTTTATGTATCCAAAACCAGAACAAGAGTCTAAGTAAAACACTAATAAAGTTCTTCCCAAATTGTATAAAGATAAACAAATACAAAAATAATTTAATATAATTACAGCTTGACAAGTTTGGACTTGACCTATGACCAAGAATTTCAAGATGTTAATTACATCCATAAATGTCATACTCCCTTATCGTACCTCTGTACTCATACCACTAGATGGCTACATACAACTTTAACATTTTTGGTACAATTGAAATGGAAACCATTAACATTTTGCATAGTTGAAAAATTGTGTTTTTACCTTGTAAAACAGAATGCTGAAATCGCGTACCATTTTCACAAGGTGATGGGTCTGTTTATCTGTTAACTGACAAACCTTGAAATGGAAAAACATTATTATAACAATGATTTGTTCATTATTGTAAAAAAAAAAAAAACCTCTTGCCAGTTCTGTTAAGAAGAACTGTAAATAGAGTTAAAATATATTCATGTTTTCTAGAATTCTATTCCTCATGTATCTACTTGGGGTCAACAGTTTATTTTTGACATAAAATATTTGACAGAAATATTCCTACTTATGAATTTTAACTCTAAATTGAAATATGTATTGACTCATATATTAGACAGCTTTAAAGTTCCAGTATTGTCTATGAGCCATCTTGAAAAGTCTTGCTAGATTAAATAAATAAATAAATAAATAAGAAGGAAAATATAGGCACAGGAGTAGATGACTATCAATGTCATCACGCTTTAACAAGGTAAATTCATTTGTGTACACTAATGGCAGAACACTTGCCTGGGATGTGTGTTGGCCAGAGGGCATAGAGAAAGGATAGTTAATGTATATGGGGCAGGGGCAGCAGAATAAGAGGAATTACTTCTAATGCTCTTTAGAACAGTTGGACAGCTATAGTTAATAATAATTGTCTGAAAATTCCAAAATAGCTAGGAGCTAGGAAATATTTTTAATATTCCCCACACAAAGAAGCAAAACATGCTTGAGATAATGGATATGCTATTTCATCATTGTACATCATATACAAGTATTGTACATCACACTGTACCCCACAAATATGTAAAATTATATTTTAAATAAAAATAAAAAATTAAGAAAACCAAAATACTTATTAACAGATGGAAGAACTCGGAGCTTACTAAGAAATATTTTTTGTAACAAAGCCTAACATAAATCTTAATGTTACCCTTGCAAAAATTATCACTTGGCATATGTGCTTTCAATGGTAATTACAGAAGAACTTCTGCCTAATGCCTCATCTTTACTGGATGTGTTTGAATATGTGTGTGTGCATACACATAAAGATCCACATATACAGTAAGAAGGTATTTCACCAGTGAGTTTAAAAACCAAAACCACCTAAGTCATTCTAAAAGTACCATATTTTTTCTTCAGTTGCTTAAAGTTTAAAACTTCTGTACTTCTAAAACATGTTTCCTTTTTTATTAATAAGTGAACATATTTCATGCAAGTGTAGGCAGACTACTCTTGCCTTCCTTCCTCTCCCCTCTTTCTTTCATCAGTTTTTGCAAAGACATAATTTTAATTGGCTCTATATTCACAGATTTAAATCACCACTAACGATAATCTTCAACAAGTAAAAAGCAGGAAAATGCCAGTTCCACAGGGGTATAAACAAGGGCTAAAAATGACAATTATATCACAAAGTGTCTTTCATTCCTACACATTTTTGGTATGTTTTATTAAAAGCCACCTATCAGGGCCGGTGCTGTGGCTCACTAGGCTAATCCTCCGCCTTGCAGTGCCAGCACACCGGGTTCTAGTCCCGGTCGGGGTGCCGGATTCTGTCCCAGTTGCCCCTCTTCCAGGCCAGCTCTCTGCTGTGGCCAGGGAGTGCAGTGGAGGATGGCCCAAGAGCTTGGGCCCTGCACCCCATGGGAGACCAGGATAAGTACCTGGCTCCTGCCATCAGATCAGCGTGGTGCGCTGGCCGCAGCGCGCCGGCCGCGGCGGCCATTGGAGGGTGAGCCAACGGCAAAGGAAGACTTTCTCTCTGTCTCTCTCTCTCTCACTGTCCACCCTGCCTGTCAAAAAAAAAAAAAAAGCCACCTATCAGAAAAAACAGATTTGTCATTTTGAGACTGGATTATTTTACTAAGCATAATAGTCTCCAGTTGCATTCATTTGATTGCAAGGCAAGTTTTCATTCTTTATTATGCCTGAGTAGTATTCCATGTATCACATTTTTCCTTATACAGTCATCAGCTGATGAACATGTGGGTTGATTCCATATTTTAGCTATCAGAAACTGAGCATCAATAAACATGGGGGTACAAGTAACTCTTTCATATGCTGATTTAATTTCCACTGGGTAAATTCATAGTATGCAGATGGGTCATATGGAAGAATTATTTTGTTTTCTGAGGAATCTACCCTTGTAGTTCCACTAGTTTCCATTCCCACCAACAGTGGATTAGGGTACCTTTTTCCCCACATCCTTGTCAGCATTTATTGTTTTTTGATTACTGGATGACAGCCATTCTAACTCTGGCAAGGTGAAACCTCACCATGATTTTAATTTGCATTTCTCTGATGGCTAGCGATTCTGAGCATTTTTTCATGTGTCAGTTGGTCATGTGAATTTCATCCTTTGAAAAATATCTGTATCCTTTGCCCATTTCTACTGGATTTTTTTTGTTGTTGTTGTTGCATTTCTTGAGCTCTTAATACATACTGGATATTCATCTTTTATCAGTTGCATAGCTTGCAAATATTTATCCCATTTTGTCAGATGCCTCTTCACTTTGTTGAGTGTTTCCTTTGCAGTGCAGAAGCTTACTTGCTTAATGTAATTCCATTAGTCTGTTTTTTGCTTTTATTGCTTGTGGTTTTGAGATGTATTCCAAGAAATCTTTGTGCCAGTATCTTGCAGAGTTTCCCTGATATTTTACTCTAGTAATTTGATTATATCAGGTCATAGATTTAGATCCTTGAATGACTTTGAGTTGATTTTGTGTTGATTTTGTATATAAGGGGTATTGTTTTATATATTTCTGCTTGTAGAGATTCAATTTTCTCAGCACCATTTATTAAAGAGGTTGACCTTTCCTCCACAAATTGATTTTAGCTCCTTTGTCAAATTAGTTGGTTGTAGATGTGTGGATTAATTTCTGGGGTTTCTATTCCATTTCATTGGTCTACATGCCTATTTTTGTGTCAGTACAAGGCTGTTTTGATTATAAATACCCTGCAGTATTTCTTGAGATCTGGTATTATGAATCTTCCAGCTTTGTTTTTGCTGTTTGATTGATTTAGCTATTTGAGATCTCTTGTGTTTCCATATGAATTTTAGCATTGCTTTTTCTGGATCTGAGAAGAAAGTCCTTGATATTTTGATTTGGATTACACTGAATCTGTAATTGCTTTCTGTAGTATGGACATTTTGATATTAATTCTTCCAACTGATGAACATGGAAGATTTTTGCATATTTTGAGTCATTCTTTCGTTTTTAATAGAAAGCTTTAATTTAATAAATATAAATTTCAGAAGTATAACTTTTGGATTACAGCAGTTCTTCCCCCCTTACTTGCCCACCCACTCCCAAACCATCCCACCTCCTACTCCCTCTCACATCCCACTCTTCATTAAGATTCATTTTTAATTATCTTTATATACAGAAGATAAACTCTATACTAAGTAAAGATTTCAACAGTTTGCACCCACAGAGACACACAAAGTATAAAGTACTGTTTGAAGACTAGTTTTACTGTTAATTCTCATAGGACAACACATTAAGGACAGAGATCCTATATGGGGAGCAAGTGCACAGTGACTTCTGTTGTTGATTTAACAATTGACTCTCTTATTTATGATGTTAGTGATCACGCAAGGCACTTAACATGAGCTGCCAAGGCTATGGAAGCCTCTTGAGTCCACAAACTCGGACATTATTTAGACAAGGCCATAATTAAAGTGGTAGTTCTTGCCTCCCTTCAGAGAAAGGTACCTCCTTATTTGATGGTCTTTCCACCGGGATCTCACTCACAGAACTCTTTCATGTAGGTCATGTTTTGCCACAGTGTCTTGGCTTTCCATGCCTTAAATGCTCTCCTGGTCTTTTTAGCCAAATCCAAATGCCTTAAGGGCTGATTCTGAGGCCAGAGTGCTGTTTAGGGCACTTGTCATCCTATGAATCTGCTGTGTGTACTGCTTCCCCTGTTGGATCATTCTCTCGTATTTAATTCTATCAGTTAACAGCAGACACTTGGCCTTATTTATGTTAGCCCTTTGACACTTAATCCTATATTTATGATCAGTTATATACATAAACTGATCACTTTAACTAGTAAGATGGAAATGTGTACCTGCCAATGTAATGGGATTTGGATACCCAAGGCAGATTTTTAGCTTTACCCTTTGGGGTAAGTCTGAGGGAATGTGTGCTAAACTGTACATCTCCTCCCTCTCTTATTTTTAACAGAGATCAATTTTCAATTGGATTTAAACACCTAAGATCCAATGGTATTAAGTAGAATAAGAAAATACAAAAAAGTTTTTCCTCAACAGTCACCCTATTGACAAGGGCTGATAGTCATTACTTCTCACAGTATCAGTTTCACTTCTACAGGTTGCCTTTAAGGTGCTCAGTTAGTTGTCACAGATCTGGGAGAATATATGATATCTGTCCCTTTGGGACTGGCTTATTTCACTCAGCATGGTGTTTTCCAGATTCCTCCATTTTGTTGCAAATGAATGGATTTCATTTTTTATTCCACTGTGCAATATTCCAGAGTACATATCCCATAATTTCTTTATCCAGTATTCCATTGATGGACATTTAGGTTGATTCCATGTCTTAGGTATTGTGAACCGAACTGCAATAAACAATTGAGGTGCAGATAGCTCTTTTATTTGCCAATTTAATTTCTCTTGGGTAAACTCCAAGGAATGGGATGGCTGGGTCATATGGTAGGGCTATATTTAGATTTCTGAGGTATCTCTAAACTGTCTTCCATAGTGGCTTTACTAGTTTGCATTTCCACCAACAGTGGATTAGTGTGCCTTTTCCCCCACATCCTTGCTAGCATCTGTTGCTTGTTGATTTCTGTATGAAAGCCATTCTAACCGGGGTGAGGTGAAACCTCATTTTGGTTTTGATTTGCACAGTCTTGGTTCAGAAGCTTCACACAGTCACAAACTCCTAGCCACCTGTTATTTCTCCCTACCAGAGTCAGGAGTCTCTGCTCAGCTGATTGCTGGGTGCAGACACGAGTTGGCAGAGCTGTTATGTATGTCCAAAATGACGCCTGCTCTATTGGTTTGTATGCCTTTGGAAGGTGATTGGAAAGAGAGAAGTAAGCTCCCTCTCCACTCTGACATCTTGGAACTGCCGATTCAT